GTTTGGTTTTGTTACTTCTGTTTGACATCTCGTATACTTTTAATTTGGAAAAAAAAATTAAAATAAGTACATTTTTTATTTTTATTTATTTATTTATTTGTTTCTTGCCTCAGCTATATTGAAATATGATAAAATAATTTAATGGCATCTAATTAGTTCTGATACATAGCGAATCTCCTAACACTCAGCATTAATATGGGTGACCAAATATGTTTAGAACATAAGTAAAATCCAGACCGGTTTATTTAAAAAAATTTGATAGACATTAAAAAATATGGCATTTATAATTTCAAAAGTTAATTAATGAAGTACTGTAGCATTTGCATTTTCCACTTAACAGACTGGAGTTACGATAATGCGTTGTAAACTCTTCATAGCATTCGAAGTAAATCAACACTGGCGGTTTGGTGGCGCCATCTATGTAAAGAAAGGAGAACAATTTGGTAACGAGGATCGAAATTTATTTTGAGTATCTTCTTTACTTTTTGAGAGAAATATTTATCCATGAATCAGAACGGTGTATTTATATTTTCTAAATAATAATTATAGTGTAATATAAAAATTTTAAAAATAATCCTTAATTAAAAGGTGTCTTTCAAGGTGAAGTCAAGAGAAGAAAAATCAATCGTCAATTCATTTTAAGTAAGAAAAAGAACGGAGGGAGAAGAAACGCAAGGAAAGTGAACAAAGGATATCAAATAATTTGGGTAATCATAGGTATGAAGTGATAACAAAACGAATATGTTGAAGTACAAATACTAAAAATAATAATAATTAGACTCAAGAATCACTGTAGCGTGATAAATTTGCAGTACTATAGTTTCAAAGATTACATCGTTCTTTCTTCTTCGGTTGAAGAAGAAAATTCTATTTAAAATTCAGATGCATAAACGTTTTCCGACTTTACTGGTCATACGTAAAGACGTTATTCGCCTTCATATGACAAGAATAACGTCTGAGCCTTCTTTGACGCTGAGTAAAGTATTATGCAACGTCTAATGGCTGTTCTCATGAATGAAGACCGTTACACTCCATTGAGGATACTGGCTACCCCATTGTACGAGCTTCAGATACAACTGAAGGTCGACCTTTCGGTTAAAAATAAAAAATTCTGGCAATAAAAATCTTTCATTATTAAAGTGAAATTCCCTGTCTTTTTGTGAATTTCAGTGAAAACCGATCGTACGGTTTATAATTTTAGAATTGCTAAATTTTAACTTTTTATCCTTCTTTTGGGATCGCCATGTATTTATATATAGATATATTATTTATTCCGAAGACTACTAAATACTGTTTCTAGTTCTTCGGCTGCCCGCTTAATGTGAGTGAAACAGAACATGTAAACATTCTAATATATTCTACTGTTTGCTTCGTTAAAACAATTAGATAAGTGTACTTTGTTTGAAATTTAATTTTAATACTATAAAATTCTGTAATGTAAATAAATGAAATGTTTAAAACATTTTCAACAAAAAGTTATTTCTAGTATACACTGCAATATTTTTTTTTTTTTTTTTTGTATAATACTCAGTTTATAAAAATACAGTTTATACTCAGTTAAATACTATTCATAAAAATATAGCTTATAAAACTTTATCAGGACTACTTTCCTTCTAATCTGCTTGGAAAACATGACATGTCCTGACTAGACAGTGAGTTTGACTACAAACTATGTCCTATGGAGTATAGAAAAGATGACAAGAGGAGAAGGGTTAAATTACCCTTTATTTTCTACGATATTACAGGCGCTCCCGCACTTCGGGATACAAAGACCAACCACTTGTGGTCTGAACGTAAAAATATAAGAACTACTGACTAACTAAAATTTAAATAAAAGCTAATTTTGAATACTTTACACAAATGACCAACACTAAGACTGGCCTTTTAAATTATTACGTATGTAGTACGCAAACTGCTGAAAACTACAATACGTCTTTAGCTTTCGAAAGGAATAAAACCTCTGGCCTTAAAGGTAGACAGCAACTGATGGCAAGCTCGCGTGAAATGCAGTGGCAAAGCTGCTCACTTTCTCTCCATCTAACTCTGCTCTTGGCAAAAAGCCACAACTTAAGCGTTAGCAAGTACAATTTGCGTAAACATATTCACGCGTTTATTCTGGCCGGAAGTGGAAAATAAGAGATGATAGTAAAGTGTTAAAATAAAATAAACGTTAGTCAACTTAAGATCCTTACAACTTCCATAATAACTTTATTAGGTGCATTATATCGTCTTCAAAGACAATTTCATTTTCCAACGTGACAATTGTAAATAGCCATCAAGAAGATAAGAATGAACGAGAGGGACTATTTAATCATATTTCCATTTTTCACTGTTATATGAAAGCTTTCCCAATCTATATCAAGCAAATCTATATCAAGCATCAATGGCCATGAAGCCATTGATGATGCATGCTAGGTTGGAACTGTACAAGGCCATGGCGTCTCAATCATGGTCTGGAGTGTTTTCTCTTTGCAACGTATGGGATCTTTGGTACTTGCACTAACCTCTCTCATTGCGATTCAGTATATAGAGGAATAACTGGGAGATCACCTCCATCCATTTATGTTTTCCTGTCATTCACACGAACTTGGAGTATTCCATCAAGATAACTGCACCTCTCACAGGTCTCGGTTAGCTACTGCCTGGTTGGATGAGTATTCCTCTGCTTTCTGTGTCAGAAATTGGCTGCCTAGAAACCCTGACTTAAATCCTATTTAGCACCGTTGGGATGTTTGGAAGAAAGGTGTGAAAGCGCATCACTTAACACTAGTGACCTTTCCTAAATTATGGACAGTTCTAGTCGATATTTAGCAAACCTTTACCGTAGAACGTCTTCGCAAACTTGTTGAATCGATACCTCGTTGTATGGTAGTCGTTATCAAGGCCAGAGAAGGCCAACTCAGTATTGACTTGATGTCCCTGATTTAGTGGCACTTCAGTGTATTTATAGGATAGAAATCAGCTAATACACTGAACTACTAGAAGAATTAGTATGGAACAACCTAAGCAGTAAACACAGTTACGCTTCCTATACACACCAATGGTTGCGTCATAAAATGTATATTCATATATGTTAGACATCTGTGAAAGCTTCTAGAGTTACATTGGTTACGAGAATGGCACGTTTTTGCTATAAATAGAGCTTTAATGCACTATTTACTCTATATGAATCATAGCTTCTCAGAGGCGGAGACAAAGCTAGAATTTTCTTATATGACCAGTTCAAGAAAGTATCGTGACTTTAAGAATTCTGGTAAAAATATATTTAAGACAACACTGTGTTTGTAAAAGGACTCTGGATGAACGTGATCAGCATTAGCTGGCTTCACGCGTTATTGTACAATACTGCTTTGGACAGCATTAGAATTCAAAGTAGGGGTTTCAATAAATCTCAGAATTAAGTTTGTAGAATGTTCCCTTTATTATGTTAGCTTTAGAAGCTGACATGCAATCAGAGTCCCCTTCATAAAATTACGACATAGAGTTATATAGCTCACCTTGGTTCATCAGTACATAGTATGTTGGTCATTTCATGACTGTAAGCAAGTAGCTTACTCTGCTCAACTTTCCAACGGTCCACTTACAGAATCTGTGCATGGATCATTCTTCATGAATCCATGGATCCGAATATCAACAGAAGAGTGAGAGGAGGCTTTTGTGGCTCCATAATAGTTTGAGGTTTACTTAAATATCATTTAATGGAAGCACAGGTAATATATTTGATATAAGAATATTTGACAAATGAACACTTTGTGCACGCTGTCTATGAGGAATTGCAGCATTTGTAGTCAGAATTCATTCTGCTAAGTTTGGCTTCTTGTAGGAAAATGCATCATCACTCAAATCTAGAGACTTCAAATTATGGCTAGAGGAACATTCATGCAAATTTAGATTTTTGGAACGGCCGCCTAAACTACCATCGATATCGAATCCAAATTGATGCCATACTGCACAGTATAGAACGCTGAAATTCTATTGATCACTGTGCAGGAAGTACGGTGTTTATTGCGTACAGCAAAGATCTGTATGCATGCGGAATCTATTTTTTTTTCAGTTCTTACGTAACAGTTTTATTAAGGTTTTAGTAAGTATTATTGCTACATATTAAGGAAACATATGGTAGCATAGCCGCAAGAAAGAATTTAGATTTGATAAACAAAGGATTTGATAAACTTTATAAATGGCAATAGAAAAATTTTGAGTTAATGTTTTTAACTGTATTTTTATTTTAATCTATGCTTGGTGTGCTGCGTTAATCATGAAGCCTGATTATTATCGCCCAGGAAGGTTGCAGTACCCTCATATATTACTTCAGCAAATAAGTATCCATTGTATTCCTATACCTAAACTGAAATCTAAACTTAAGTTAAAACTTAAATTTTAAACAAAGCAGTCTGTAATCGGGCCGAGCGGTAAAATCGCTGAACACTCGTAGTTCCAACCTGACTCAAAAATTCCAGTAAACGGGTTGTATGTATGAAAGATTTCGCAATCTTTCCCATATGTAATGCGAACATGAGCCAGCTTGCCTTTCAATTTCCACCACAAAGGCATCATTCACCTTAGGCAGATGGCCCTTCTGTGCTTTGCCGTCACTCAAATAATTCATTCTAATCAAGGCTGTAAAAATTCTTTTACGTAAATTTTTATCTTCATATGGATTCATACTCAAGTCCTATACAATCACTTAAAACAGAGCCCCTTCTTTTGAGCTATGTTGACACTTGTGTCCACGTGCGCTGAAGGGAGCCTCCAATTCTTACAATCACTTAAAAACAAGTACAGCCTGGAGAGTTAAAACTACTCATCTGAAAAAGCAAGATAACTGTTTAGTACTTCGCTGTCACGTTTTTACTTTTCATTGCAGCTTTGTAACGGGAGATTAAAAAAATTGTATATTTTACTCTCCCCTTTCAATTATTACTGTCGTTTTATCTACAATTTTACATCACCCTTATTCTGTCAATGTCTAATATTATATGTATTATTTTTCTTTTCAGTTTGACGTTTAAACGACAAAAAGAATTTGCTAAGAGTTATGTTACAGCATATACAAGCTTGGGTCACATTAACTTAAAAAAAATGTATGCTAATTTCCATACCAATGTAATTTGTCAAATAAAGAATTTTTTAGTCTCTTTTAACTATTGTTTCTCTTGCCTAAATATTATTTACAATCTTACATTACTAATTCAAAAATGAATTTTAAAAGTAAGGTGTGAACCTACGCACCAGCAATAAGACATGAATTCAAAAAATAATTATCATTCACATTCTACGAAGAGAAAGAGATAATTATGCATTTTATATAGAGAGAAATAAAGCAGTGAAAATCTTTAAATTAAAAGGGATCATAGGCAAGAGTTATTTAACTAATAATTAATGTGAATTCCTCTGTAGAATAATTTTAAATACACTAATGTGCTTTTGTAAAAAAAGGAAAAGTTAACAAAACTTAACTTATTTTTATTGATGAGTTTATATTTTAATTTATATTTATATTTGATGCTTAGAACATGAAGATGACAACGGGTTTGCCCTTAAAAGCAAACGTTTTCAGAATAATTTTTATAACTCAAATTTTATTCTTACAATTGTAAGTATTTTATTTACTGTTCTATGCATTAAATATTTAAATTCTGAAATAATTTTAATATTTAATGCATAAAGTAGCAATATTTTATACATAACATATTAAAATCAGTCGTTTCGTAGACATAGTCGTTTTTGTAGACAGAATGATTGTTTTCTAACTGCTTTAAAATTAAGTTAAAATATTGTAGAGCTATTAGGTTTTTTTCAACGTCCTCGACGGGACTCGAACCCTGGACCTCTCCAATACACGTAGAATATGCTTCCAGTTACACCACGAGGAGAACAGTGCGAGAAATTAAAAAAGACGGAGAAAGTACCTTATAATATAAACATATTTAATAGTCAAATATAATTATTATTATAACATTATTGACTTCTAGATGTATTAAATCCTTATTTTAGCCTATAAAGTACCTACTAAAATTTAAATTTAGTGACTTCTGGAGAAAGCAATGATATTTTTGCTTTCTCTTTTCTACTTGCATTTTTAACATGAAATTTCACGTTTTGACGTTTTATAAGGTATTTCTCCCACCTTCTTAGCATGCCTTCGTGGTATAATGGCCAGCACACTCGGCGCGTATGAGAGGTCCGAGGTTCGAGTCCCGGCGAGGGCACTGCTCATTTTTCATGGCTCCCGCTTCGAAATAACTTAAAGTTCCTACAGTGGCTCCCGAACTAAAAAAAAAAAGGTGCTAGATGATGATTCTCCACCACCAGGATTTGGCGATTGGGTAGGCTAATCCCCAGTCGCCCTTTCAAAGGGGGGTTTATATGGTATTTCTCCCCCATTCTTGTTTTCGTGATGTAATTTGCAGTACATTCGGCGCGTATCCGAAAGGTCCATGGCTCGAGTCCTGGGGAGGGCATTGCTCTTTTTTCAGGTTTTTCAGCATAAAAACTCCTAATGTCTCTACAGTTTCAGATTAGTTTCTTCAACAGCTTATATATTCTATTAAAGAATAAGTTACTTCAATCGCTACTGAAAAAAACAATGTGGTCTCTTATTTAGCAGTTCTTTATTCTTATTTATTTTTACTTGAGAGAAAAAGTCTCGAAATGTCAAAAAGATGATATAGTTGCCTTAATTCTCCCAATACATTACAGTTCAAGTCCACCACTAATGGTTCAAGTCCATATTATGAAAGCTGTGACAAGATCGTAACACTACTATTCTACAAATCTTAATATTTGAAATCATATTTCTTGGCATTTGTTGCTGTTTTTAGTAGATTTGATATATAGAGTAGTGACCATAGGACTGAAAAACAATGCAGTGCAACTCATCATAGCATACCACTAGTTTCCAGTACCTAGGGTTTATGGTATTAAGTGCCCAGCAAGTTACACCTTTCTCATACTTACAAATCATTTACGGCTAACATGATGCAACTGTGTCCCTGCAGTTTTAAATAAGGTTAACAGAATGCAAATAATATTCAATAAAGTCTAGCTCATAACATAAATAAAGTCTAATTAGAATTAAGTAAAGTCTAGCTATAACAGAACATCTAGACACTTATTGTGACTAAACTGGCAAGCTAGTAATCTAAAATAACTTTAGCTAAAAAATTTACTGGAAAATTAAAATGGAGGTCCACCAGGCATCCGAGCGGAAAAATTGCTGAATACTGGTAGTTTGGCCAGGTTCAAATGCCGGGGAATGGGCTGGCTGCATGGGAAGTGTCACGTTTTCCCCATGTGTAACGTGAATACTAGCCATGTTCCCTTAAAACTTTCTATACGAAGGCACCAGGCACCCCATTCATTAGGCAAATATCGCTCATGTGATCGAAATAATCCAACCCAAACCTAATTTAAACGTGAAACTATTTCACATATAAATCCATGTAGACTGTAAACCTGTTTCTTTAGATAAATGGGTTTTTCGTACATCAGAATCTTAAACAATCTGTAAGAAAGTGTGAATTAAGCAGAAAAATAGACTGAACTAAATATTAATGACTTCCAGTTATAAGATTATAAGGTCCTGTTTAGGTTTATTAACCAGTTATTTTAAGTTAATTAGCTTTTTTATCCTCCTCGTTTCTCCTTTTCCTTCCAGAATATAAATTTCTAGCTCGCATGATATTCAAATGAGGTAGAAAGAAGATAGTATTTAAAGAAAGGTTTTATATGATAGAACGTGTTCTGTCCATGTAGCTAATTTCATTGCCTTGCAAGTAGTATTCTACGGCGTTGCATTATTCTAATCATTAAGCTTGTCACGCCGACTTTAGATCAGAGCCAATTTTCGCGTTACTTTAATTGTGTAGCTATTAGGCTAAATAACATTATTTAGTTAAGTCATTTCTTATCTCTGACTCAAGCCATAATTGCTGGTTATATTTGTAAGCACGAGTGATGCCTTCTGATAACTTTCATGTGGTTAAACAAAGGATCCTTTACTCCCTTTCACAGTTTCTTTGATACCTTACAAGATATAGTGATAATTTACGTAAAGTATGCGACGTTTCTTACATTTTATATTTCCAAAGAACACCAAGCATTGTAAGATATTCACTAAAATTTATTTTCCAAATAGAAGCAATTTAAATTTATTTGCCGCTAGTGGGAAAAAACTGTTTATTCCAACAATCTTCCCTTGAATTTCCTTAACTTGAGCTGAATTGCACAGCAAAGGTGTATTTTTTCTATTAATTTTGATTTAATTTTAACAAGCAAAGTTGTAGAGACATTAGGTTATTTCGAAGCAGGAGACATGAAAAATGAGCAACGCTCTTGCCGGGACTCGAACCACGGACCTATCGAATACGCGTCGAGCGTGCTGACCACTACACCACGAAGGCATGCTAAGAAGGCGGGAGAAATACCTTTTATACTCCTCCTTTTAAAGGGCAACTGGTATTTTAGGGGACCCAATAGCCAAATCCTGATGGTGAAGAATCACCTTTTAGTTCTGGTGCCACTATAGAGATATTAAGTTATTTCGAAGCCGGAGAGATGAAAAATGAGGTCTAATCTTTGGAATATGGTAACAGGTAGTTTGGCGACATTTTGGTAAGGCGATAAAGGTTACTAGCTAGGACTTTAGCAGTGTACATGGATAAAGTCAAGAGTGTGCGCAATGCCATTTTTGTGCATTTCTGGGATGTTTTTTTAAGTGAAAATAGGTCGACGGGTACATGGATGATACCGTGTATGTGCAATTCTTAAAAACGCGGCAAGCAGTGGGCGATTCTGTGTTTTCTCATAATTTCGTATCTAATATTCGTCACGATTAAGCACTTTTGTTCCATAAAAGTTCTAGCATAAGCGTAATTCGGCTAGCAGATTGTTGAAAAAAAAAAGTTGAGTTAAAAAAAAAAAAAAAAAAAAAAAAAAAAAAAAAGCCTTTATTTCGTGAAAACAAAATGGCGTCCAAACAAAAACTAGCAGGTTGCTGTAGCAGGGTTGGTCGCCAAATTTTCGCCAAAAAATCGCCAAGTTACCATAATCCAAAGATTAACTAAAATGAGTAATACCTTCGCCGGGATTCGAACCATGGACCTCTCGAATTCGCGTAGAGTGTGCTGACCAATACACCACGAAGGCATTCTAAGAAGGCGGGAGAAATACCGTATAAAGTTAATATTTATTTTGTTTAGGCAGAATAAATTTCAAAAGAACGGTTTCCCATTACGACCGTTAGATTTTCCCAGAAATGAAAATGATAAAACAGCACAGTAACTCTTATAAATATAAGAATCATTGTTTTGAAGCTAATTTTAACATGAAAAGATTAAATGACTTCTTATGTTCCACAACAGATATACGTCTTTTCTCACAAGTCTTATTTTTGATTTTAAAGAAGAGAAATTTCTGCGCCCGAAAACTAATGCCTAAGAATACTTTAATAATAGCAGCTTGATGTGGCTTATAATTGTTTACAATATTTAAAGCTTATATTTACATTCATGACTCCTAAAACCATCTTTATCCATTACACAGAATTAGGATTATTTTATGACTCATTAATGCCTTTTCCCACAGTGAAGAATTAATAATTCTTTCAGTGAATTAATGGAGGCTTTCGTCATCTTCAACTTTAAACAGAAACAATGCTCTAAATTTATTATGACAATAAGCAAAAAAAGAAGTTAAATATATAATTGTTTTCTTGCCGTAAATAATAATTAACTTTTCTAATTTTTTTTACACATAATTACGTATCTAAATGATGCAAACTGTGTCTTTTTCTAACTTTGAATAAACTTAAAAAAAGAGCTGTTTTACATACAGAAATAATCTGGTACTGAATTAAATAGAAAAAACTTATAAAAAAATTTGCACTCAGTTGTCTAAAACATTGGATTTTCAGCCAAATATTAACTTTTCAGTTTCCCTTAAAAGATTATTTTAACTTTCTCGAGAAAAAAACAACGACAATAAATTATGAAAAAAAGGCTTATTCTTTTCAAGTTTCTGGTATCGTTTTCATATTACTTTACACAGAAATATAGAGAATATGTCATGAAACCCGAATCTAAAAATCGAGAAACAAATTTACTTTTTCGGAGCAATATAATTTCCGATCGAGGCTGAA